TGTGTGTGTGTATGCGTGTATGTATATATATATATATGGTTTTGTGCGTGCAGCTTTTGTCAAGACACGTCGGTTGCTCGAATCGTGGCCTGGGGCGGTTTAGGGTTTAGGGTTTAGGGCTTAGGGTGTAGGGTTTAGGGGGTTAAATTTAGGGTTTAAGGTTTAGGGTTTAGAGCTTAGGGATTAGGGCAAACGCTAAAAATGCTTCCCAGGGTCTGAAGATCTTCTGGGGTTGAGGGTTGTGGGTGTAGGCTTTAGGGCTCCTGGAAAATGCGACAGTTCGGCGTTTTGGGTTTAGGGTTCGTGGAAGTTGGGACAGTTTGGGGTTCCCTAAACCCCTAAACCTCTAAACCCCTAAAGCCTGAACCCCTCAACACTTGAAGTCTGAAGACCCCAAACCCTACAACCCTAAACCCTAAACCCTAAAACCCTAAACCCTAAACCCTGAACCCTAAACCGGCTTTGGGTTCCTGGAAGTTGCAACAGTTTGGATTTTAGGGGAGCCTCAGGACTTCGGGAGGGGCGTGGGGGCTCAGGGTTCAGGGTTTCGGGTTTGGGGTTTAGGGTTCAGGGTTCAGGGTTTAGGGTTTAGGGCTTAGGGTTCAAGGTTTAGGGTTTAGGGTTGAAGGTTGAGGGTTGAGGGTTTAGGGTTTGTTCAGATGCACCCGTTTCCCAGTGGATCCTGTCTAAAAGAAGGACGCATTGGACAACCCACTCCCCCAGCCAAGCCCCTTTTGCAAAAAACCCTTGAACTCCTATTGCAGGACCCCAAACCCTAAACCCTAAACCCTGGACTTGGACCCTAAGTCCTAAACCCCAAGCCCTGAAGCCCCTTCTCAATCAGAAAGATTCAAAGAAAGCTGCCTAGACGGCCGTCATCCTCGGGCAGCGCCACGCGCTTGAGGAAGAATCGCCGCTCTCCTGGAGAAACTCCAAACAAAAGCTCCCCTCGAGTTTAGGGCTGGAGGTTTGGGGCTTCGATCCTCGTCGGTGGTCTAAGAAGACTCTAGGCGTTGTTTACAGGGTTTAGGGTTTAGGGTTTAGACTTTAGGCGTTGTAACAGGATGATGGTTCATGGGTCTGTCAGGCTTGGAGTGATAGCTTTGTTGTAAGGTATCTATATCTTGCTTTCCCAAGCTCTGTGAGCTTTCTGTGTCTCAATGTCTGTTAGCTTTCTGTAAGGCTTCGGAAACTCGCTTGGGGTCTTTGAGAACCTTCATTGGGTTTTACAGGGGTAAAAGGTTTAGGGCCTCACTTACACTGTAGGGCGTCTTTAGTGGGGCTTGCTGGGCCTTCCAACCGAACTCGTCACGGCTTTGGGTGATCAGGCTTTTGGGCTTTGGGGGCTTAGGGTTGAGGGTTTAGGTTTACACCAGGTAGCCACCGAACCACCGGAAAAAGGTGGTAACACCCAGGAAAAACTTGGCTTTCCGCACCGTAACGCTCGAGAGGCCAAGCTGGTGAAGCTCCAGAAGAAGCACAACTTTCTACGATTTGGGGGTTTAGGGTTTCGGGTATAAAGTTTAGGGTTTAGGGCTTAGGAGACACGCACCTGACATAGTCAGCCAGTTTGGCACCTCCGTACTACAAAGACTGCCCGGGTTTTTCTCTGGAGTCATCGACGGGATCAAATGAAAGGTCGCGCGCATTGATCTCAAAGGCCATCCTCGGACGATGCTTCTGCAGGCAAGTGGTTTTGCCGCATCACGCTCCGTTGGTTTGGCAAACACAGACCAGTTTATTCTCGGCACAGCTTTGGAAAGCATGTACCGGACAAAGGCGGAGTTGACTTAAGGTTTAAGGGTTTCGAGTGTAGGGTTGCTTCGCTTGTTACGGGGTTGTTTCGTGCTTAGGTGTTTAGGGGGTTTTTTCGGGGTTCAGGGTTTAGGGTTTAGGGACTTTCGGAAAAGTCATCGCTGCCCATGACTACGACCGCAAAGCAACCCTAACCTCAAGGAATGTGCTTGTATGGGTTGAGTAGTATAGGGCCTATTCATCAGAATGGGTCTGGAAGTACTTTATACGGTTTGGGGTTGAGGGTTGAGGGTTTAGGGTTTATATAGGGGTTACTAAACGACAATGCGGGCCATAGGGGAAGACTAGTAGCAACTACGCCGACCTCGACCTACGCGTCCGGTATCCGAGGGAACTAAAGGTTCACCTCTTGGAGTTTCTTGGGGTTGAAGCGGATTATAATACCCCGAAAAGCTTAAAGGTACTCTACTACTACTCTTGATGATATAATATAGATCCTTCATCACCTTAAGGACCCTAAACTCGGATGGGAATTACGGTCTATTCCTTATTGTGGGGTCATGCAGGATTTAGATCACCAACCGTGGGTCTACAGTCGAGTCCTAAGCTTCCACCAGGGCAGAGGGCCTAGGAGCGAAAACTCTGACACAACTGCTTGTGTCGAGGCCTCGGATCTGGAACTGTTAACGTGGCTATATTGCAACCCTACAACCTAAACCTAAGCCCTAAACCCTAAACCCTACACCCTAAACCTAAACCCTGAACCCCAAACCCTAAACCACTATAAAAGCGCTTTAAAGAAACCGTGTGGAGATCGGGAGGTCGCCCAAAGAGAGCTCCTTTCTGCAGGCGCACCGCCTTCTCCGAGGGTGTGCGGATTCCCAGTCGGTCGGAGATGTTGGTGCCCACGTGAGCCTTGGGGAAGAGGGCTCTAGCCTAAGGGCTATTTGGGGTTAGGGTATATTGGGCCCAAACGGTTAGTAAATGTTACGGTCGATGGTATAAATCCTGCATTACCCCATCAGAAGGAATATGGAATTATATCATCAACAGTATCAAGGCCACTTAGTTTCAGGGCTACTACAAGGGCCTCTTTAAGGGGTCAGGGCTCGAGCTCCAGGGGTTTGGGGCTTCGGGGTTCGGTTTACGGCTTCGGGGTCGCGGCTTTGGGGCCGACGCATTGGGACTGTTAGGGTTTAGGGTTTAGGGTTTAGGGTTTAGGGTTTGCGGTTTAGGGTTTAGGGTTTAGGGTTTAGGATTTAGGGTTTGCGGTTTAGGGTTTAGGATTTAGGGTTTCTGGGATTGTAGAACTTCCGGGTCAACTCAAAGTTCGCAGAGCACCAAACCCTGATCCCTCAACCTCAAACTCTACCAACCTAAAACCCTAAGCCCTAAACCCTAAACCCTAAACCCTAACCCTACAAACCTAAAACCCCCAGGCAAACACAAACCCGGAAATGCGAGCCGCCAAGGCGCCCGTTGCGGGTCCGGGTGGTCCCGGTAGTTGTAAAAGATCGAGCAGCCGGTGTAGACATTCCGTCTACGACCGCCGGACCTTCCAGCGAAGATCGCTTTCGGGCCGTTACAGCTTTGTGCTGTTATTCTTAATCTCTTCACCTTAAGCCCCTAAACCCAACCCGAACCCTAAACCCTAAAACCCTAAAACCCTAAACCCAACCCGAAGCCTAAACCCTAAGCCCTAAACCCTAAACCTGACCCGAACCCCTACATTCATGAATTTCGGGTTTGCCTTATTGGCTACCCTTTCTGTGGAGGGTTCAGGACTGAGTTTGGAGGTCTAGGGACTGATTTGACTATCTATCTATCTGTCGATCTATCTATCTATGTATATATATATGTATATATGTATATATATATATATCACAAGCAGTGTGCAGACAGGATGGTTAAGACTGGACGGAGCCTGCGACGAATTCCCAAACCGTGAGCTGACGGAGGCCGAATGGTACTGCAGGTTTAGGGCTTAGGGTTTAGGGCTTTTAGGGTTTTTAGGGTTTAGGGTTTAGGGTTTTTGGGGTTTAGCATTTAGGGTTTAGGGTGTAGGGTTTAGGCAGACCGTCCGCGAAGGCGCTCCCAAACAAAGCCGGACTGGGAGCGCACCTCTTCAAGGTTACAGGGAACAAAGGCGCAGTATCGCACCTGTGTCGATGGCACTCTTTGCAGAGCCTGTGGGAGGCAATGCTGGCCCCAGGCACGACTTGCCATTCATCTCCGAGCCACCCTAAACCCTAAACCCTAAGCCCTGAACCCTAAACCCAGCAACCCTTCCATGCAGACACTGAGGATGGGCTCGGAGCCCTGACCCCTCTGCCTGGAAGAGGCGAGGCTGGCCATGGAAGGCTAGGAGGAATTCACAATGGCGCCCTTTGTGTCAATATGCTGAACCTCTACAGCTGTGGCGAGATGGAAGTCGGGTGATGTTCAGCTGCTTGCGCATGCCGAGCTCTTCAACAAATCATAAATGATGTCGTTGAGATGCTGGAAGGCGTCTTCAGCAGCTGCCCCCTGTACCGCACGGAGGAGATCGCTGTAGCGGAATACCTTTCGGAGGGGGTCCAGCTTCTTTTCCATCATGACCCGCATGAGCCTTCGGATGCATCGTCGCATCGTAACATCCTTGAGGGGCTTCAGCACTTCAGTGAAGCACCGACCCTCCTGGAGTGCTCCGTCGAAGGTGAGGCCTGCGAGGCCATGGCTTTGCGGAGGCTTTCAAACAGTCCGCAAGACAACAAGTTTGGACGAAGATTCATGAAAAATGCTCAGAACTGTCAATGCGGGACCCAACCGCCACAGCTTGTACTCCTAGCTGAGTGGGAAGCGGAGAGCTGTGCCTTCAGTGACGGTTGTGATTTCTCTGCCGCGCTTAGTTGTGCACTAGATTGTGTGCCAGAAACGTCGCGAGCCCTGATGTAGGAACCTGATCAAGAAACCCTGGGTCTTTATTAGGGGTCTTTATATGAATCCTAGTATTTTTGGGGTTATAGGGCCAGGGTTTCTTAATCAGGTTCCTACATTATGGGAGAAAGTCCTACAAGCACCGGTCTCTTCGATTGAAGCTCCGGCGCAAGCTTCTGGAAGAGCCCGTTTGCCGTGCCATTCTGGGTGCTGAGGGCTGGTATTCCAGCATTATATTAAACGCCGCGTACTCCTCCGATGGCATGGAAATCCCGGAAAATATATATATATATGTATATATATGTATATGTATATATATATGTGTGTATATATATATATGTATATATATATATACATTAAAAATATGAATATGTGTATACATCTATATCTTTCTCATGGTAAATAACCAATCCCTGTGACAAAAGCTGGTCTTGATGCTCGCTAGGTGGAACGCTATTTCCAGTGTTTTGTAATCCATGAGAGAGCACCTGCACAGCCGAGTAGCTAGTCGCATGGAGCCCTCCTTATAACCCTTATAGCGAGCTGGCCTGCACCCGGTGTAGTCCAACCTCTTCGCCACGCGTTCCACCTTGCATCTGGGGATTAGTTTAAGGTCTTGGGTTTTGGAGGGGCTTGGGATTTCGGTTTAAGATTCAGGTTTCGGATTTAGGATTTGGGGTTTGGGATTTAGGGGCTTGGGGTTTGGACCATTGGAGGCATAGGATTGAAAAGCTTGGGGTTTTCAGCCTTCCGGACGGTTTAAGCCTCTGAAAACCGCAAAGCACCAGCTCAGGCAGCCGCATCCTTCGGGTCCTCGGAAGTGCTGAGCCACACCTCCTGCGATGGAGGGTCGAGGATTCCCGGCTATTACTGGTTCTTAGTAGGGAATGGGGGAATGGGTTTTTGGGACTACTATAGGGGACCTGAAGGGTCTATCATAGGGATCCATTCCCCCATTCCCTACTTAGAACCAGGGAGATTAGGGTCTCCCCAAGTCTCAAGCTCTTCGGCTTTTGGGGGGTGAGAAAGTTAATGTTAGGACTTAGAGTCTGGGATTTGGGGTGTAGGATTCTTGTCTTAGCAATTTCATGCTCCAGGGCTTCACGGCTGCATTGCTAGCATTGTTTAAGGGCACCAAGGTCTCAAGTAAACCCTAAACACTAAACCCTAAGCCCTCGAAGCCGTAAGCCCTAAACCCTAAACCCAAAACCTCTCTAAACCCTAAACCCTAAACCCAAAAGCCCTCGAAACCCTACACCTTCTAAAGGCTTGAGGCTACGGGACCTTCGGGCTTTAGGTTCAAGGCGTTTGGGGCTTTGGATTTAAGGCATTTAGGGCTTAGAGTTTAGGGTTTTAGGGTTTAGGGATCAGAGCTTCGGGTTTAGGGCTTCCGGCTTAGGGGTTTGAGGCCGAGGGTCTTGGGCTTTCGGGCCTAAGGTTTAGGGCTTGTAAGGCTTCAGAGGGTTTAGGGTTCAGGGTTCAAGGTTTAGGGTTGAAAATGTGGGGTTTAGCACTTAGGGTTTAGTCATTCGGGACTTTTGCTGGGAATATTCACTAACTGAGAATTCTTTTTCAAGGCCCTCTTTCGATCCACAGAAATGCATCTACGAAAGCCCGATTGGGCGGGCAACGTTGTCGCCAGTTAGAGTTCCGGGTTTAGGGTCTAAGGTCTAGGGTTTCGGTAATGCTGCTGCTTTTAGACCGGCATGTGCGCTCTCTGGTTGTTGCTTGCTTTGGGCTAGAGCACTGACTATTAATCTGACGGTTTGGCGTCATCTTGTACAAGTTGCTGCTTGTTGACAGGGATGGAGCCAAGGGCGACATTCGTCGCAGAAGCTTCGATTTCAATATGTGGCAAAGTCCCCCAACACCTTGCAAAACTTTCGCCGGCCGTTGCAGAGCCATCAAGAGACCCCAGCTGTGCCCTTCCACTGCCCCACTAAACAATGATGAAGAAATCTACTGCAAGATGTCCACGAAACCATTCAAGCTGCGAGTTTGCAGCCATAAGCTTTTCAAGTATGTGAAGATCTCAGCGACACGTTTCACAGCGGTGCACTTCTGCAGATCTGGTAGCTTAGCCAGGCACCACTGAGCAGCCACAGCACGAAGAGTCCGATTCCCACAGCCGCCGTCATCGGAAGGACGCGGCTACAGGGTTTCGGCGCTATTTATTTGAATGCTCTGAAAAATCATTTCGGTAGTTCTTCAGGCTCCTCTCTTACAGAAATCGGTACGGGCACTGTGGCTCCCAGTGTTGCTACGTCACTGTATGGGATGAGCAGAAACATACCAAAAATACTCTGATTACGTTCCCCAGCATCATAATCATGGTAATGACGCAAATAACACCAGCAACAATAGAACTTGCAATGACCATGACAACCATCGAAGAATGTAAAGAAACCAAGGCTCTAAAACCCCAATCTCCGATCCCAAACACTACAACCTAAAGCCCTAAAACCTCAAAGCCCAACACCCTAAAACCATAAAGCCTAAAGCCCTAAACCGTAAACCCGACAACCCTAAACCCCTAAACCTCCAAACCCCTAAGCCCTTGGTGCGCGCCTGATGGAGCTGACCCCAGGTGAGGAAGGAGTACCAGCCCGAGACAGGGGCTACGAAGAATCCCATGATCTCCTCAACCACGCCTTGGCTTTTAGGGTCAGGGTTTAGGGTTCAGGGAGGGTTTAGGGTTCAGGATTTAGGGTTAAGGGCTTCATGGTTGTATAAGCTTCGGCTTTAAGCAAGTTCCTTAAGTGTTCTATAAGCCCTTCAATCGTTTCTATAAGGGTTGTAGAAGCTTGCTCTCAAGGGCTCTACAAGGGTCCTATAAGCTTGTTCCTTGGGGTTCTATAAGGGCTGTATACGGATTTAGGGTTTTGGGTTTGGTCAACTTATAGGGAACCGAAAGTTGGAACGTGGATTTAGGATGCTTCGTGCTAGGATCCCATACAGTTTAGCTTAACGGTAGCAGGAGAATGGTTTCCAATTTCCGGGCTTTTGCTTAAACCCTAAACCCTTAAGCCCGAAAACCCGAAACCCCAAAACCCCTAAACCCTAAACCCTAACCCCGAACCCCGAAAACCCTAAACCCCAAACCCCTAAACCCTAAACCCCCAAACCCTCAACCCTAAAAGGGAGTGAGCAGGACGGAGCGGTTGCTGTGCAGTCAGATGTAAACCTGTCTGCAGGCAGGAATGCTCTGCCGCAGGTTTGCCGCTTCACTCATCTGGCCAGAAATCCTCGGCAGCTGAACGAAGGTTGCCCGGCTCACTGCAGGTCCACGTCTTGGGACCGTGCGAAGTCGTCCGTGGTGTCGCGAACCGGATCGTACGCGATCCAGCCGCTCACGAAACGGCAGCAGGTTTGTACCTGTCCAGGCCCTTGGCTGTCCGAACATTGTCTCCAAGATCAAGCATTCAGATCTCCATCGGCAGCATGCCATCAAGGACAACACAGGCCGACAGTGCCACGTCGTAGACATACCACTGCCGACCCGAGCGCCAGCACCAGCGTCCGTCGCTCCTGTTCACAGAGCACGCGCATGTCATTTGGTGTGTCCCTATAAGAGCCGGCCTCGCTTTGAAGGGCTTGCCCGCACTTCCATCCTGTGCGGACGTGGTGTTGCCCATCCTGACTTGTCGTGGTGCAGCGGCGCCCAAGTTCCGCACCATCTTGGACCACGGGCACGTGTCGCCAAAGGCTCCACGATACCCAAGCGAGGCCCAAAATGTGCGCGCCGGCACGTCCCGCGCCACTTAGCAGCCACTTCATTGCTCTAGCGACGGCATTGAGGCTCAGTGTCTTCACTGTCCTAACTCTTGACCAGGTGCCAGCCACGAAGACGTAAAGCCCAGACCACGGAGGTGGGCTTCGCACTGTCCGTTCAGGAACAGCGCGGCCCCAGAGGCGCGGTGCTCCTTCCCGAGACCAAAGTACTTGATCTCGGGCCCCTCGAGGATAGCTGCACCGATGCCATCGCCGTTCTGGCACCCAGCTTATATGCTTCAGTTCCACGGGCTAGTCACTTGATTTATCTACTTCGGCTCTTCTTTCAGCAACTTCACCCGTGCTTGTTTGTGCGAAAGATACAAGTTAGTTGATGGGTCCGCGCAGTTCGTGCATTCACGCACTTGGAATTCCATTCGTGCGTGCAGGCGGAGAAGACTTCAAGGCCAGGAAGTCGTGGTTTGATGCCAGAGGGCCAGCACGTCTAGTTCAAAGCCAAGGAGTCGTGGTTT